GTCCCTTCCAACCCTAACCATTCTATGATTCTATGATTCTATGATTCTATACTGAAATGAGGTCAGAAAGCATGCATCAAGTGTTTTCACATGTGTTGCCTTATGGCAAAACTACAGATCAGCTGCAGCAGACTTCAGTTTCTAAGATCCTGCTGCTGCACTTGTTCTTTTATCTGAGAAGACCAGAATTACAGTTCAGGGAGGGACAGATTGACCTTGTGCTCCTTTCCCTGCTACTCCATGTCAAGCCACATTGTGGGCTGAGGGGATGGGAATGGACAGAGCAGCCTTCATGCTAGCCCCAGGTACACTGGGGTCATTCAGGGGGAAAAGATAATACCAAGCTGGCCAGAATAGGCTTCTCCTTCCTCACTTCTTGCTGGATGTTTCACTGCTGAGGGGGGAGGTGGAACAGGCCGTTGCTTATTAACACAAATGTTTCCCTCTTTGAAGAAAAATGAGTGAGGATTGTCCCTTTTGCCAAAGGCTAACAGACCTTTTTTTTCACAGGATGCAGTCGTAGATGAGGCAAAATAACTCTAATACTGTGTTTTCTTGTCTGTCTTTGCTAGAGATTGCAGTTGCCCTTGGGCAGCCAGAACCTGCTTGCTCTACTGGATTTTCAGCCAATGCTTTGTCCCTTTATGGGTTAAATGGGGGCTTTTGGCATTTACACATCCTGAAAGCTTTTTGGGAAATGTTTAATATCTAAGCCAGATATCTAGGCATATTATAGGAAAGTCTATTTCTATGTATTTTGATGTGATTCAGTTGCTACATGGAACTCAATTCCAGTTCTTCCACACCGTCTTTTTCTTGTATCACAAGTTTTAGATAAGATTTTCCATTAAATATTATCACTGACTTCTTACTGCGTCTCATATACCTCAGCTACAATTTGTGGTGTTGAAGGTGTAATGTAGCTTGCTTTCTTAGTTATCTTTACCGTGGTATAATTGTTACCATCAAAGGTGATGCAAGAAAAAAGGTAAAAAAGGATAAATAAAGGAAACCTTGAATGGCACTGTGACAATGATGTCAACTTAATTAAAAGAAGTTTAGTTAAAAAATCCCTAGTGACATGAATTTGTATCAGGCTGATTTCAACTGCCACTGGAGCTGTCGACCCTATTGGCACTGGGGGCATGCGTGAATAGTGAAGGAGGGAGGAGCAGAGGGTAAAAGCAGCCTCGCAGTCTGAATCTACCCCAGCCGATGTTATGGGCAAAGCCTTTCTGAAAAGAATGCTGCCAAGTTAATAAGGAATCGAGAAGGGAGAAAAAAAGAGAACTAGCTCAAGACCTAAAAATAAGTCTGAGGTGGGGCGCTGCTTAGTCTTAATCCGTCCTTATATCATTAAAAACTGTTTTCTTCATACATTGCTGAGGTGTCCTCTCTAACTCCTGTGTGGGAATTCTGAGCACTTGTACATCCATCCCTTATGAATGAGGAGTACCAGTCTGTGGAAGTGGGCTTCAAAAACGTATTTGAGGGAGGATCAGGACTGCCCTGACAAGAATTATTGACAAGGGTGCTGTGGTACTTGTTTTCTCATGTCACTGTACTGGCTTTGAATTTTCTAGTTTTCTCCTTTTTTGAAGAACTTTTACTGTTCCTCAGGGTTGTGTTACACTGATTGCCAGGTAAATTCAGGCTTGGCCTTGTGCCAGCAGGGGGGCAGCCAGAATACAAATCAGAAGTAGGGGAAAAACCTTAATTCCCTCTTTTAGTGGCAAGTATGCACTGTCCACCTGCTTCTGAACAGGGGAGCCATGTGGGTCGATGACTCCTCAGAGACCAGTCCTTTTTCTCCCCTTCAGTAATATAAACCGTGGCATCTTCCTTATCTGCAGCAGAGAAGGAGAAGGGACACCTTCAAGGGGCAGGGTGGGTATCCAGCCACTCTGTTCTTAAAAGAATTTCCAAAAAGGTGTTTATCTAGGTCTGACCCTGGCACTGCATTCCTTATTCACCCTAAACCGCCACGGTGAGCGTGCGTCCCACAAATACATATAGACTATGTGGAGCAAGATAAAAACTTGTCTCTGAGCCTTGCTGTCCTCATTTCTATTAAGAGGTGCCGTATGCCTTGACATGTCCGCGGTGAAATAAGTAGGCTGCAAAAAGTAGAACATTGCTAGAGGCAGGGAGCAAACACTGGTTCTTAAAAACTGAATACTGACTGAAATCAAGGTGATACACACAACGCTGACGGCTCTGCAAGGTGGTGCTCAGCAAGAGCAAGTGGTGATTTTCATCACCAGCACACATTTCACATAGGTAACTAAGCACATTACTGCTCAGAAATCCTTGCAGTGCACTAACAATGCAATCACTTCATTCTAAGGAAATAAGGTAATTCAGCACTTCATAATTAATCCTAAAAGCACATTTTTTTCTTTTTTTTTTAGATTTTTTTTTTTTTTAATTGTGTCATTTACTATGAAGCAATCAGATGAAACTGTTTAGAATTTAGGAGAATTTTTGTTTCTAACATTGATTTTAACATTTAACATGAAATGACCGCGGGGGCGTTAGATTGCTAGTTGAAAAAATGACAATAACAAGGGAAAGGCACATGCAAATGTCTTCAATGGGCAGTTCAGAAACACTTTGTTTTATCCCCATTTGTTTCTTTAACTGCCCAAATTAAGGTACAGTAGAGTTTTGGACTTCAGTGCTGTGGTTATTATATCAGCAAAAATAATTTCCCTGGTGTTAGAATTTAGTCAGGGGTCATTCCACTTTATTAATGTTCTACAAACTGTCATAGAACAAAGAGGATTAGTCTCAAGCATCTCCATAATTCTTCAACCATCCAGTTCAGAGCATAAAATAAAGGAAGCAAGAAAATCCAACTCTAAACTTAAAACCAACTAAAATGAAGAACATTCTAACAACCCTTGGATCCTTCTCAGACCTAAAATGGAGCAACAATGCAACGAAAGATTAACCACTAAGAAAAGAGATTCTCAAAACTGCCTAGCCTCGGGTCTTAAAGCTATGTGAGGGGTACACCTGGGGAGTGCAGCTGGATTTTACAACTTTTGGCACATTTCCCTTGATAGGAGTGGGAGATTTTTATCCTGCTTAAAAAATCTCTGCCGAGGAATGTGGATACTACTTTTAGAAGCACCTGCATCCCATTATAGGTCAGCCTGACTTTGGTTTCCAAGTGTTAAAATCTAATTTTAAGATTGGACACAGACTCTTAAATCACATTAGTCTGAATGTCCTGACTTATAATGTTTTCATATTCATTTTGACTAAACACATACATAGTCTTTATTATCCTTACTCCAGGTTCTGCCAATCATTGATAAATTGTATTTGTTATCAACCACTTAGCAACAAACCTATGGCTCATAATTGCTGGAAAATTGAGAGGTGGCTGAGCAACTCTGTATCTTCCCCTTGCTCACAATTTCAAAATAAGAATGGTGGTTATCAACAATAAAGAATAAAGAATAATAAAGGTTCAGTTCTGAGCCTTTTGAGGATTTGTTTAGAGGCAAAAAACCAAAAAAGGTTACTTGTACTGAACTAATGTTCCACTTCTGTCTTTTGTCCATTAAAAAAGCTTCCTAAAATCTGCAAAAACTTGCCCCTCTTGCTCTAAGATACTGCCCCTGAAAGAAACATAACCACATAGTTATTAAAATGGCATCAAGAATATCTAAGTAATCTGTTCTTGGAAATTAGCTTTGCGTTTATGTTTTATCTACAAATATACAGGATGAGAATGACAGTGGCTAGAGGTTCGTTATATCTGGCAGTATGTTAGCCTTTTTGAGGCTATCATGTTTTAAACATTATTTTAGTATGATAATCCCCATATTATGCATGGACAACCGTAGTTTACTTGGCATTGGAGAAGAGTTCATTCCTAGTAGCAGAGCTTTCATATGTTTTAATTCACTCATATAAATAATAAGATGACAACATTTCCCAAGGAGTATGCAGAATGTATTAGTTTCTTTCTTTTTGCCTAGTACACATGAACATTTTAACAGCAGCTTTGAAATAAAAATCAGGGCTAACAAAAACAGCTTTCTCTCTTCAAGGTAGAACTCAACTCCTCTATGCCAGCAATGTCTCATGGGTTGCCTTCCCTGGGTGACATCCAGGGCTGTTACAGTAAACTGGTCCAGTGTGATATCACAGGTATAAAAAATATTCCATTCTGTATCAAAACTAGGCACATGCCTTATATTTATATGAAGAGAAGATCAACAGAGCTGAGCATTTTTGCTCTCGGCTATTCATCTCTGTCCTTCTACATGAGGAGAAAAATACCTTATGTTATTTCTAATTGGTAACTACATGAGTCTAATTTGGGTTAGATAGTAGTTAAAAGGAGGGTGACATCACACTTGGGTCAGTATTGGTGGATATCTAAAAGCACAACCTCTCATTTGTATTGCTTTAAAATGTACACAGTATAGATGTAGATTAAAAAAAACTACTAATTTTTTGTGTTGTTGAACCAACCAGAAGGGATGATGCAAGGTTTTACCAAATGAGATCTATAGATACAAATTTCACTGTAGAACATGTTTTAGACAAATGTGTCTTTTTCTTTAAGTATGTAAATCCTACACTGTAGGCTTTTTTTTTTATCTTTTCCTTTTTGTAGTGGTAGAAAATGTTGAACAATTGTCCATGAGCATGAGCCAGCGGTTCATTGCTGATATCCCCAGAATGCCAATATTTGCAATGCAAACAGTTAATACAATTTACCAGTTCTATGAAAGGCCCTGACATATCTGCCTCAAGGTCTGGAGGCTCTGCTGTATAACCACAAGTAGTCTTTCCATTTTCATGTAACCTTTTGATACAGTGACAGCTGCATTAAGCTGCTTCTGCCTAGCAATTCCACATGCCAGGCTGGTTTAATTGGTTTTAATGCCACAGAAAAAGCACTGCTAGCAGAATACCATCAAATCATTTTCATATTGAACCTCCGTGGTCCAGCAACCTCCCCTTCAACCACAGCACCATTGTTTTTGCGAGGGACATATTCAAGGTCAATGCTGGTTTTGTGTTTGCCTTTCCCTCGGCTCCACACAAAAAGGAGGAGGAAACAAAATAAAACCACTCCAAGGAATGTGAAACAGCCCATAGCTGTGGACACCAATATTGTCTTAAGGTCCAGAGAGAAGGTGTTCGCATTAGTTCCATTGGAACTTGTGTCGTTGGAGTCTGTCATATACATAGGGGTCCTGTTGGCGTAAAGGAAACGGTCTGAAGTAAACCCCTTCACTGTAAGGGAGGCCGAGTAGGTGTCGTTGCCAGCGGCGTTACTTGCAATGCAAACATAGATCCCAGTGTCCTGGTCTTGAGCGAATCGAATCTCCAGGGTGCCGTCTCCCAGCACAGTGGCTCTTCCATTTGATTTAGTCGTGATCAGCCTCCGGCGTGGGGTGACCCAGGATATGGTGGGCTGCGGATCCCCGTCAGCGTTGCACATCAACTGCACCGTCTGCCCTTCCTCCACTACCAGGTACTGCAACTTCTTGTCTTGTATTCTGGGCTTCTTACAGGTGAAGTAAAAGGAAAGAGCAGTGCTGTGGAAGTCTTTGAATGACCTCTCTTTGACGCTGTCTGGGCCAGCACACATGGGCGGCTGGCCCCCAAACTGCAGAGTGGGCTGCCTCTGTAAAATCCAAAGGAGACGGCAGTCACAGGCCAGAGGATTGTTGTTAATGCAGAGGACCTCAAGGCTTTTGGAGGAATGGAATACATTCTCTTCCAGGGTTTCTAGTAGGTTTTGGGACACATTAAGCACGCGTAAGAATCGGAGCCCTTGGAAAGCATGTGATTCAATGCTCCGTAGCTGGGCCCCTACCATGTGGAACTCCTGCAGGCGCACTAAATCCGAGAGCATGCCGGCTTCAATGGTGCTGATAGGGTTGTAGGAGAGGTTCAGATGTGTCAGGTAAACCAGGTGCTTAAAAGCAGAGTAAGGTACTGCAGACAGGTTGGTGTTGGTGATGGAAAGAGAAGTAAGGTTGAGACCATACAGGCTGTTGGCAGGTAGCATGTCCAGGAGGGGCCAGGCATCTATCTCTAGGTCCTTCAGGCGAAACAGTCTTTTAAAGGCATAAGCAGGCAAAGCGTTAATGTTGAGCTGTTTCAGATGCAGACTGATGAGGTTGTGAAGGTGAGAAAGAGCTTCTGTTGGTACAGCTGTGAGGTTGCATCTCTCCAGGGTGAGCTGCTCCAGGCTAAGCAGTCCGCTAAAGGCCCTGTGTGATATATAAACCAAATCATTGTCCCCAACCTCCAGGGATTTCAGGTTATGCAGATCTTGGAACATGTAGTCCAGCAAAATGACAATCTTGTTTTCACTTATATCGAGCTTTGTTAAGTTTGACAACCCAGTGAACACCCCAAGGGGGACCAGCTTCAGTCGGTTTCCTTTCAGCCTCAGGGAGCGCAAGTTGAAGAGATTGTTAAAGGCTCCAGGCTCCACATTAGCAACTATATTGTCACTGAGGTCGATCTCCTCCAGCAAAGGGTATGACATGAATTCCTCAGGGTTGACACTCTTCAGTCGGTTCTTGCTGAGGTCCAAGATTTTGGTCTCAATGGGAATGCCTTCTGGGATGGACATCAGACGCCTTCGGTGACAGCTGACAGACTTGTTCTGTGCCGAGCATTCACAGCGGGCCGGGCAACCTGTGGTGGGGCCCATGAAGACTAGCAGCACAGCCAGACCCAGGAATGGCTGCCAGCATGATACAGCTGTGTGATGCATGACTCCACTGATCCGGTCTAACCCTCCGTCACGGGCCTGTGGGGATGAGGATGGGAAAGGGGAGAAGTTAAGATGGCAGCAAAAGGAGACCTCTGCCAATTTTACAGTTCCATTTCAAAACAGGCACATGTGTTTTCTTTTAAAATAAAACAATAAAATCTATTGTGAATGGCAAGAGCAACAAAAAAGCAGATTTTTCTTCACTCTCATTGGGGTTGCCGAAGGACTTGTTTATCCAGCTTTTCCCCTCCAAACGTCAGAGGAGACAAAACAGCTTTTCCTACTGCAAACAGTAAAGAAGGTTAGGTTTTATTCTTTTCTCAGTCTCAGCGGGTCTTCTCAAGGCAGTGCAATAACTAACACAGAGATAATCACCATAAACTGTGCAAATAGGGCTAATCACATTTGCGGTAAGTTTACAGCACTGGGCCTCTGTGAGGTGATACGACACTAGGCTTTTGACTTCCCTATTCACATCAGTGTTTTAAGGCAAACCTTAACGATGTATTATCTTCAAGAAAAGGAGCTCCTTGAAAATGAAAAGATTTCTTTTAACATTTATTGCATACATTAAAGCTATAAATAGATGGAACTTATTCACACATACACATACACAATGGCTCAGATGAGGAAGGAAGAACTTGGTGCATCTCTGATTAGAATTTGTATTAAGGATGAATTGATTCTTTGCTTTTACTGCACAGGGAGATTTTATGTGATTCTTAAAACCAAAAATCTGAGAAGGGTTTGCATCTTTGTACTTCTATGACATGTAAACTAATTCTGAGAAAAGCAAGGTAAGATGAGTTGGCTGTGTTTAGCAGCACAACATCCAGAGAAACACAGCAGATTCCATGGAAATCACACTTAGTAAGAGATTTATTCATTCCTCCCTTCAGGATAAAACTGAGGATAGTAGAAGACAAGATAACCTCTATTCAATTAGCTACCCTTCTCCAAAGGCTGGTTTAGTCAAAAAGACAAGGGAATTTTTCAAGGGTAACTACTAAACAAAGACGCTCAAAAGCCATTCCAAAAGAAGAAGAAGAAAATAAAAGAATAATGTAGTTGCTCATCAAAAGACTGAGTGTCTGAGAATCTTGTAGAGTAAGGCACGCTGTAAGCAAGGACTATAGAAGTGCCTTAACTCCTGTGGTACAGCCAACTTGATGAGGCCGAGTGGTAGTACTGGGAGCTGAGATGCAAAACATTAAATAAACCTTACAAGGTGCCTCTGGCCTTGTGAGGCCTTTCTTGGATTGATTAATTTGAGCCAAGTTTTGCTCATTTGTGTGCACACATGTGGATTGCATCATAAAAGAAATCCTCCTGCGTACAGAGAAGGACTCGTAGATTTAAACAAATATGGTATAACTAAGTTTATGATGCAATCAGGCAGTTATTTTACTAAACAAGCTCTTTGGAACACTTAAAAAATAATACTGAATACACCCCAGACTAATGAGAAGAAACTCCCAGCAGTAACTCTGCAGCATCAATATTGTACTGTCAAACAACTTGGGATGTGATAACCCACCAAAGCATCCTGTCTGAGAGGAGAGGGTTGCCCTCTCAGACTGTGGATGATCAGAAGGGTGGGAATTCATATTTCAAGGCCAGGCTGGATGAAGCTTGGAGCAACCTGGTCTAGTGTCCCTGCCCATGGCAGGGGAATTGGAACTAGATGATCTTTAAGGTCACTTCCAAACCAAACCATTCCTTGATTCCATGATTCAACATGCAAGAAAAGGAGCAGATACTTGGATCTACTGATCTTATTGTATCATTAACAATCCTCTAAAGACACTGGGTGGTTTGAATTGTAAGCATTAACATTATTGTGACTGGACTAAATAATCAACAGCTGTTGTTCTGTGGTTGTTACAGACTTAATTGGGTGTACAATATATTCTCTTTGAGCTGCATATAAAATGTGTTCTTTGACTGACCGTAAATTAACGGTGCACAAATTAGCCTTCTCATAACTCTGTGGCAGAATCTCACTCGACTGATGTGGCTTCTTTCCACTCTGGCACTTCTATGCAGAGACTAATAATATGGCACAAATTGCATGCTGGTTTTGCGATGTAGTCTGGGGATCTGGGTGAAGACTATTCTTTATTATACCACTTACAAAAGCACATTTCGGCTTTGTCCTAGAAGGATAACCTGCTGAGATTCATTTGATTTCCCCCTTAAGTTGTAGTCCTGCAAGTAACTATTGCTGGTTATGTCCAGCTGTGACAAAGGTTTCCAGAGATAAACTTCACTTCATTAGGCACCAAGTTAAAACTGGGAATCTAGAGGGGTGTGTGAGTAAGGTGTTTGCAATGAATTCGGATCAAAGGGTCTTTCGGATGCTGTGATCATTACTTTCAGAGCCCAGTCTGTGAGGTTAGCGTTTTCATACTGATACTTTTAGCGTGCAGGGAATTCGTTTCCTACGTTATTCACCTAATGTGTGAAGCACAAAGTAAACAGGTTCAGTGGAAGACAAGCACCCCTGGAGTGTTCATTTCAGATAGCAAAAATATGATACACTTTTTGCAGCTCTCCAAGCCACCTGGTAAGTAGAAGTTCTGAGGAGTATGAAGTGGACAATGGAGAGTATAAAAGGTGACAAAAGGATTTTTTGACTGTGACTGGAATAAAGAAAAATAGTGTTAATAAAGCACTTCAGATATTAACAGTTGTCTTTTGCAAGGCCATGTGCACACCGATGAAGATGATACGCATTTATCTATAAGGGTATATGCATGTGTAAACAAGATTCAGAACTGTTATTTAAGATGGAGTAAATTACACATCAATAAGGAAGAATAAATTTTATTAAATTGCAAGTGAGAAAGCCAAAGTTTACTTGGATCAGTAAGTACAGGTTAGAAGACAACATAAATTACATGGATTATTTCAATTTATTTTGACCACCCCAGATGATACTACCATGCTTCCTGCTAACCACATCTGTCACTACACATTTAGCTTTGAAATGCTTTGTGCAAAAATCACTTTATCTTCATTATGCAAAAAAAAATATAACCTTACCTCATTGTACGAGTAACAAACAAAAATTAAAAATGTCTAGCAAGGGAAATATGGGCAATTTAAAGATTCCTGACTTTTTGCAGGACAAGATGAATGTTGGGAGAGGCCTCCAGTGAACTTTGACCAAATTGCGTATGGTCCAGTTTGAATTTAATCAATGTGAAATGGTATTTTCAGGACATGGCTGGTAACATCACTGGCAGGGCCTCCCTTGGGTCTTCAGTGTGAGAACATCTTGAAAGGATACATCTTAATCCCTAAAGCATATTTTGTGCCAGTGTGATCACCGTTGCTTATTATTATACATCCATTAAACAACGTTGCTGTTTAAAAATCTGTATAAAATTATACCCTTAAAATACATTTTTCAATTTAAGTTGATATCTTGCAGTCAAAAATTATTTCCCACATTTGTTTAGACTTGTGGGTTGTTAATTAATCAGCAGCTTCACTGACATGGGGCTGAACTATTGGTGTCACTGTTCAACACAACATCTTTCTTTCCTGCTTAAAGAACCAGCACTACATACGGTATCCTTTGCCAGTATAGGAATTCCCTCTAAACATCTGTAGGATTACCTCATTATCCTTCTTTGCATCACTCTGTACAACTTTTCTTCGCTGTGATGCATACGAGAAAGTAAAGTGTGTGCATACAAGTTTACATATACATACACATAAGTGAAAAGTATAATCTTCTTGATATGTGATTGTATTATGCCTTGCACTGTAGAATACTTCTGGAAAACCATAGCTTCTTAGCATAAAAATTCTGATAAAATAATAAATAATTATGAACCAGGATTTCTTATACGCTTGAATGAGAACAATAACATTTAAAATTCTTTTCCCAAACTTTCTGGGGTACTTATCAGACTGCAACACTCTGGGCAATGAAATATATCAAGGAATTAATTATTAAAAAATAAAAATTAACTAACTACCTCATTTTTGCCTTTCTCTGGCTCTGTTTTTAAGTCCAAAGCCAACAGTCATGTTACCACTGGCTTATACTCCGTTTCAACACAAGACCTAAGTCAAAGTTCAGTTATGCAATTAAGAAAACTCATTAAAGTTATTAGCTAATATTTCTTTGTGATCTCACCCAAAACAGACAACTCTACTGCTTTGAAATGCAAATAATTTTGCACTTTGCTCTTCATGTTTGAATCTACCCATAAATAGTTTACAAGAATGTGTGTGTACTGGTACCTTGTAGCTTTTGAATCAGAGAAGTATAATAAAAATAAGTAAAAAGCAGTCCCATGCTCCCTCAGAAGGCTGTGCTATTCTGAATATCATAGGTAGGAATATGTCAAGCCATGCAAATATACTGTATATTATATTGCTTCTTCCTCTCCCTCAGAATAATTTTGAAGCCTTTATAGCTAAAAGCTGTAAAACATGTGACCAGGATCCTTTCCTTGTCCTATCTGACATTCCGATACTGTGTAGGACCAGGCTTCTGCCAGGAAGAGGGAGAGTTGGAAGATTTGTTTCTGTCATTAGCCAACCCAAACCATTCTGTGATTCTGTGATTATATGTTTGATTGTTTTGATCTCACCCTTCCTTCCTTTTCTCCCAGTCTTTCAGACAACTAAAAATTCCAGTGGATCATATCAGGGATGACCATTTTTCCTGGTATTGACGTCACTTGATAGCTTCTCTTGTAAGATTCCATTTGCAAAAACATAGCTCTATTAAACTTTCTAAGATGAAATATTGAGTGATAGGTATTTGACTCATCCTGATTATTCACTAATCAGCTAATCCTGCTAATCCTGAGAACCAGGACTCAGCTAATCCTGAGAACCTGTTCTAAAGGTGTTGCAAATGATACCTGTTTAAAAACCAGCTGAACTGGCTTTTCTGCACTCTTTTGTGATGCTGGACCAGACCAGGTAAGTGCAGGGAGGGTGAGGATCCTTGCTGCTGGACTGCATCAAGGTGGCAA